GACTTTGAACCTCAGGTTGATCTGTATTTCTGACATGTTCTGAATACTGTGAACTCCATATACCTTAGCTATTTACGATACTCCTAGTTTTCACGAATTTAAAAAAAAAATCCATCCGACCTAATTTTTTGACTTCAGGGCTCCACAAGTTTTTTTTGCCTAAACATAGTCTGCTAATTGACAACTCGGCTGCATTGCAAGCAATGTTTCTTTCAAGAAGCTACTACATCGTTATCAGCTGTATTTTCATCAAATTAGCTGATGATATTTCTAACTCGGTGTATGAAACAAATTTGCAGCCACAGTAATGCAGAGTGCAGCAACCTGTTTCTCGGGTTCAAAACCAGAATTGCAGAACACCCTGCCCTCAAAGTCAAACTAAAACACTTCACCATTAGTCATTCTCAGCAGAAACTGATTACTTTCGATAACCTATAAGAACTGAGCCCCTATGGGAGAATGAATGGCCACTTGATCACATGACTTCCAATTTATGCGTAGTTTTTGGCAAACCATTCACACCAACCTTTGAATTGGTATACTGCTGTACAAAGCTCTGCTTTGTGGCTCAAATATGCAAATAATTGTTAATTACCTATTAAGCAGTTCATTTTGAACGTCTCTAAAACCCAGATTTTCTCGAACATGCATAGACCGATTAAGTTCAAACTTCACTCGTACATCACACATTATATGGGACATGTGCACATGCATTTTTTTCATGATCCGATTAACGATAGCCGAATAGCGGCCATTTTAAGGCCGAAAATGCATCAAAATCACACATTTTCACCATTCCGGATCTCAGTTATGCATGGACGGATTTCGTTCAAATTTGGTGCATACATTAAAAATAATAGGACCTTGATGCACGTTAATTTTTTTTTCGGATCAAGTTCGAAATGGCCGACTGGCGGCCATTTTGTTTTAATAAATTCAGTTCTTGATCCGTATCCAAGACATGTCTGGATTGATCAAGTTCAAACTTCACACACACACATGGTATATCATGTCACAAATAGATATGTGCATTTGTTTCATGATCCGCTTAACAATAGCTGAGTGATGGCCATTTTAAGGCCGAAAATGCTTCAAAATCACGTATTTTCACAATTCCGGAACCTGATCTCAGTCATGCATGGATGGATTTTGTTCAGATTTAGTACAATGTGTTGTACATATACAGTGCATTTCAGTCATGATCTGCTTTGAATGTATATGTCACTCAAATATGAACGTAACGGGGACGTGTCATTGACAATGACTTGTGTTCAATGTATGTATCAAGTTTGAACAATAGCTGTATGACTCTAATCTGAGCCTGGAATTTGTGATGCATGAAAATGGCCGCAATTTTGAATGTTTATCAAATGTACATGTATACTAGAAGTTTGAACAGCATTACATGTAAACTAAAATGGCTGTGGGTCAGCCATTTTGAACCCAATCAGAAAAGCAATGCCGTACATCAAGGCCCTATAATATTCACATCTGATATATGCCCATACATTTATAATCCAAATGGTGAAATGGCAGCCATTTTAAAGCTGAGAATGCAGCAAAAATCACATTTTCTCCATTCTAAAACCAAATCCCGGACATGCCTGAACTGAAAGTTCAAATTACACTTGTCGATCAGGCAATGTCTTGTACATTTTTGTCTTCATTACATTCAATATGGATGATTGGTAGTCATCTAGTTTAAAAGAGTGCAGTTCGATGGTGCCATATCTCATTCATGTTTGTTGATATAATGGAGAAGAGGACAGATGCACTGGGTCCATATACAGTTTTCAGAAAGTTCTCCAACAAGAATAGTGTGTCCATGCAAAAAATAGATGGATCCCTTTTTAAATAGCGAACAGTTGAAACAATTTTTCACTGAATTTTCACTGCTGCTACAAAATTTTGTGAATTCGCTGACTTTTTTTAAAGCTATTTACAATGTGCACATTAACATGTCTAATAATGGTAGGTTTTTAGTGCCTATTGATTTTATGTAAATACCTAGTCTGGATATTGTAAGGACAAAATTGAACGGGAGGGGCATCGGAAACGGGAACAACATTTTATGCAAACAGTCTTGATTGGTCACAGCATTTTTGACTCCTCTGTGTGAAGCACACTATGAGAGTCTTTGCGGTTAGTGCATCTGTGTCTGTTTCGCTGATATCTTAAGAACCAATCATCAGATGCATTGATGCTCTGGGATAATGTGCAGGCATGATTAGTTTTTGATTGAAACTATGCATATTAATCAGTAAATTTTAAGTACCATTCAACAGATTTTATGGTCAAAATTGTCCAAAGAGTGACAGTCAATTGTTTTGATATTTGTCACCCTTCTGTGTTTGTTGTAGAGAGAATCTGTGGCATATACATTTATGTACCCCCTGGTATATGGATGTTTTTGGTTCTACATCACCAATCTCTGGCTCTGATATAATCAAACTGAGCTGGGATGGAGATTTTTGAGAATAGTCTGTGACTTTGCGAGAAAACTCAAATGCCGATCTGATGCATAAAGATGAAATAATTCTGCAACAGAAATGTACCACATTGGACTGTTTACAGTTTCCTTGGGTGGTCTGCTAGGTATGATAGAAGTAATGCGATTTTTCATTCAACTTAAATCCAAGTAGTCCCTCAGAAACAGACTCCTTCTAAAGGACACTGCAGTATCAAATTAAAATGGGCCTGAGCCGTCTAGTTTTCCATAATTTTCCAGCAGTCTCTGCAGATGTAAACTCCTGCATGTAAACAGTGTTGGTGATCTATCCATAATCTGATTTAGTCTAGTATGCGAGTGAATGAGAAACAAAAGACCGCTAAGTGTGTGTATATATCTATTTCCAGGGGAAACTATGCTATAAATAAGGACAAGATGGTCACCGCAATTAGTATGCTAATCCGAACCAAGCATAGTGGCGGGAGCTCCGGGAAATGTGCCATTTATGATGTTTAGATTTCTACGAGGGCACAATATGTACGCTAGCAATTACTCGTCTGGTTGGGCTTTTGATGTATAAAAGTTGTTTTCGGTCGAAACGTGCCGTAACAAGTAAAAATCACGAGTTTAAAATGGCAACTAATGTATGCAAAATGTCTGTCAATCAGTTTGAGTATAATTAAAAATTCATTTACTTAGTGAACAGAGGGGAGTTAATTACCCAAGAGTACATGGTGCAATCCATGATATTGAGTGGTTCCCCTTTAAGCTTATCTATAATTACATACTCTAACAAATGTGAGGCTGTACTGCAGGCGTTTCAACAGGTCCTTTTGTGTTGAAGAACTTGTATTATTAGTGCCAACTCCTGTGATCACCAAAGAAGAAAATTCTCAATTGGTATCTTGCACTTTCAACAATAAACTTTGCATAAATAGACTGCTAGAATTTCTTGGAATATGCAGCTTTCATCCAAATTGGATACTAAATTTTATTGCAGAAAAATCAGAACTGAAGTCGGCAATTTTTAAATTAACAATTTAATTTTTCAAGCGCGTACATCAACATTACATCATTATTGCTCTGAATTCCTAAAATTGATAATTTCTCACACAAAACCCAATATAGTACTTTTCATTCTATGGTCCTCAGTACCGGTATGTGCACACTCTTCAATAATCCTAAACAATAGTACAATAGAATTTAACTTACAACAAAAATTAGGAAATGTGGCATGGGAGATTATGCACACACACCTAAGTGCAAATAGTAAACTTTTATTTTTAATAAGACCCACTGAAACAGTCTACAAATTCAAAAACCATTCTACCTTTATCACTCTAAGATTACACATCGCATCATTGCCTACTGTTTTAATTAGAAATTAGGGCAAGAGTGGGTTGGTATTGTAAATGCTACAAATCAAAACAATCCAAATTCTTGATCTCCTGATTGATGTCTATTTCAGATAAACTTTTGAGCATTGAATATAAGAAGAGCATGACAGAGAATTCTCTAGACAATATATTAGATCATAGATCACGTGTGTTGTTTACATTATTTCAAAACACACCCACATCATGTGCAAGTCACATAAATTGTATTCAAACTGTTCAAATTATAAAATGGTAGGTATTAATGTTAAAGTCATGATTTATTGAAAATGTAGTGTGCACATGTCCTTAAGCATGCACCTCCAAACTGTCACACATCCTGGTACTTTCAGTTGGATGTACAAAATTAACTATGCCAGGTTGTGTGACCTTTAGAGGTCAGACATGGACACATTCACCTTATCACCTGCACACATTTGACAAGTATTTGAATCAGCTGAACTAAAAAATGACACCAACAAAAAGTAAAACGTTTTACGGTACATTCCATTTTTCCCCAGCGATGGAAAAATCAAGAAGCTTTCATTCTTCAGTGTCACAATGATTTGTATTTATAATATAAAATATTGATACAAATACATCAGATAAGTTCAGTTGAATTCCAGTTGAACATTATTTTAGTTATACCTTGTATTCCATTCTATATTGACTCAGTTTTTTTGGTCAAATCTATGTGCATCTTGCATCACAATGTTATTTATCTTTGATGAACCATTCATTCCAAATCAACAATTGCTAAGGGTTGAGAAAAGTTGCTACTGGTAGAGAAAAATTACAGAGTGTCACTTCAGGAATAATGAACATGTACATATAAA